GTGTGCGTGTGCGTGTGCGTGTGCGTGTGCGTGTGCGTGTGTGTGTGTAGGCGCGCGCGTGAAGAGGGGCGATTGCTGGGGGCCGGTGACGACGTACTGGAAATGTCCAGCTCGGTGACGCGGGCGCGGTGCTTGGTCGCCGCGTCGACAAGCCCCTGCAGGGCCGACCGATTCCGACAATCGTTGCCAGCCAGACGCAGGCAGGAAAGGGAGGGCGAGGCATCCAGCAGCATGGCCAAGGCGGCGATGCCCTGCTCCTCGATGGAATTGGCTGTGGGCGTACACCGGCGATAGAGGTGAGCAGTCCGGCGGGGGGTCAGCAGGGGGAGGCCAGAAAACCGGGGAAAGATCGCATGGATGACGCACTGCTCAAGTCCAGGAGCTGGAGTTGGCCAAGCGACCTGCAGGCGGCCGCCAGGGCCACACAGCCCTTGTCGGTGATCTCATTGCCTTGGGTAATACGAAGTCAGAGGGCGAGAGCCTGAGGGGCAGAGCAGAATGGCGCGCGGGATCCGAGGGAAGGGCGGAAAAAGCATGCTCGGGTGTATGTGTGTGTGTGTGTGTGTTTGTGTGTGTGTCCGTACCAGCCAGCGAGAGGGAGCGCAGGGGAAGATGCGGACCCAGCGAGGCTGCCAGCACTTGCACACCATAGTCACCAATCTCATTTTCTATGCACATGTTCACGTTCGCGTTGGTCGGCCAAGAGGGCAAGGGGGGAGGGGGGAGACGGAGAAGCGGGCAGACAGTTAGCATCAGGGAAGGGAGGGCAGAGAAGGGCAAACACCAGGAAGCAAGACAAGCCAGCATGTGGGCGGGCAAGCGAACGGGAGGGAGGACCGCGCACGACTGAGGAAAAGGTGCTGGACGGTGGCACGCGCAGCGGCGAACACATAACGCGAGAGCTGCGACAGGCAGCTGTCCGTCAAGCGATTGACTGGGGTGGGTCGACGAGGGGGGAGGTGTCAACCGCGACAGGCAGGGAGGTGAATGGCCCGGCATGCGGGGCAGATGCGCGCGTTGGAGCGAGCAGCGTACAATGCAGCGAGAGAGTGACCAGGGCCGGGGCAATGTGGCTGATATTCGAGGCAAAGAACCGGAAGCCCAGCGGATCGAATGTATTGCCTGCCAGCGGGGGATGGGGAAAAATGCCAAAACGAAGTTAGACCAGGGTGTTTTCATGGCCGGGCACATGGAGGGAGGGAGTTGCCGGGGGGGAAAAAAAAAGGACAGGGAGACGTTTCGTACGTTCAAGCTCCAGAGTGTGGATATTGAGGGTGTGAATGCGATGCTCGCGGATCTCCTCGACCAAGCGCGTGAAGAAGGCATGGGCCTTGGTGCCGCGAATCTGACACGCTGCAAGGGAAGACATGGACACGGTGAGCACGAGCCCGCTCGGGCGGGGGGAGAGACAGGCGGAGGCTGGCGGGGCGGGCGACGCACAGTGGAAGGAAATGGTGACCGAGCGGTCTGGGGACGACGAGCGCAGATGCCCGACGACGGCCTCCACCTGGTCTTGATCCAGAGTGAGGCCTTGGGAGATGGGCAGGGCAAGGGGCAAAGGGCCGGTGTAAGTGGCACAAGTGGCGCAGGTGTCCTGGCGAAGTGGACCGTGCTTTGGGCTGAGAGCATGGGCGATCCCGGGAAGACGCACCGGAGATCGTCAGAACATCTGGGCCGACATGGGGACCGTCGACCAGGGGAAGGGCACGGCCCCGGAGGAAGGGGGGGGGGGGGGTCAGAGGCGCTAAGTTGCTCGATGGCCAAGGCGCAACCGTGGCAGATGGCCGGGCGGGGCAAGGACGCCCAGGAGGAGAGGGCCAAAGGCTGTGGGGAGAAGGGCTCGGCGGCCGTGGAAGCACGCACCGATGTTCGCATCGTCCGGGCATGGGGCAAAGCGGGTGAAGGAGATGGACTTGCTCCCCGCCGGAAGCGGGCCCTTGCCGGCCGCAGCCGCACTGGCAGGAGAGGGAGAAACCGACATGGGCGGCGAGGGGGAAGGGGAGACGCGGAGAGGGGCAGAAGGGCGGCGAGGGGACAGGGGGGGGGGAGCGGCGAGCGGGGGGGAGAGGGACGAGAGGGGACGAGGCTGGGTGCCCTCTCGGGGCGGGCCTCGGCCAGGCGCCCGCCCTCGCTTTTTGTGCCGGCGCGCGGGCGGGGCCGGGGCAGGGGGGCAGGCAAGTCGAGGGGGGGGGGGGGGGACAAAGGGGCCGGGAGAAAACCCGGCATCTCGACCGCGGAGGCCTGGCCACCGGCCAGGGGCGCCGTCCGTTGGCATTAGGTGTGCCGCCTGTTCGCGACGTCTGCCACAAAAATCGGTCCCCCGATTCCAGGGGGAGACGAGGGGACTGGGTGGAAAAGTGCGGCAGCCGATGAGCCGCCCGAAATATAGACACTATTATTATTCCTCCCCAATTGTGACTAACTGAGAAATGGGCCCCAAAGGGCTCGGGCCCCCGCGGGAGAGACAGGCGCGCGGCGGCACGCATCTCAAACAGCCGGACAGTACCCCGATCTGCCCGGACGCGAGTAGCCCCCCCCCCCCCCCTGGGCCTGGTCTGAAGAAGGGCCGATCCAGGGGGCACTTAGCCCGAGGGTCGGCCACCACCTGCTCCTCTGCTGTTTCCTCTTGCCCCCCTCCCCCCCCCCCACCTCATCTCGGCCTCTCTTCCGCGTACCAACTTCTCTTTGCCCCGGTCCCGGCCCTAGCCCCTCCCTCGCCCCAGCTCCAATCCCCATGTCCGCCCCCGGCACCTCGGCCGAAAGTCGCAATCTCCTCGACCACCCGACAGACGAGGAGGATGACTTCAGCGACTCGGATGTCCTCTCGCCCGTGGCCCCGGGCCCCGGGGACCAGCTCATCGAAAACATCCAATCCAACCTGGCCGAGGTGACAGACAGCATGCGGCGGAATATCTTGGGCGCCGTCCGACGTGGCGAGCAGCTCGAGGAGATCGCCGCCCAGACGGACCATCTGGCCGACACGTCAAGTCAGTTCAACGACCGGGCTCGCACTCTCCGGAGGGAGATGCGTTGGAAAAAGATGAAAGTGCGCCCCTGCCCCCCTGCCCGCCCTGGCCGCCGGGAAGCCTGGCCTCTGCCAGGTCCCCTTTCCC